ACAATTAATGTAACTGTTTCACATATGTTCATTTCTATGATATCAAATCGTTCCTTTTAACGAAGTTTGTTTTCAGATTCAGATTCAGTGACCCAACATGAAGTAGAATATCTAATTTCACCGAACACAGCACCAGAATAAATGCTGATAATGATTGGATTTGAGGAACAGTTAAAAGTTGCACATTTCGTCACTTCCACACAATTGTACATTAGGAGCGATAGAATCGTATATTAGAGAAATCGCATTAAATGTACAATTTAAAACAACTCAATGAAATCGTGAACAAATTGTCTCTTCACGATATCATGATAATGGATTGAGAGAGCCGGGTGTGACCTGTGTGAGTCATCTCCAGGCTTCGCACAGGTCACACCTGGCTCTCACACGATTTCGGCGGAGGAGTTTTCCGCAAGACCTGCGTCGTCTGTAATATTCCAGCCACCGTCGAGCATATCCTCTGCGAGTGTCCAAAGTAGCTCGTAGCAAAGCTCGTGCGGCTACACTACGGCCTTTTGGGGAATATCTGGACGACGAACCTTCGATCCTGGCTACCCTGATCTCCTTCCTGAAGGACGCTGGATTGTTTTTCAATGTTTGATTCCTTCCTTTCGGCTGTCGGGGCATCTCTACCACGGTGGAGCTCTGCCTTGTTCGGATTAGTCAATAAATTAACTCAATGTCAATGGTCTTGTTTGTTCTTCTGTGTTTCCCAATTCTAAATGTTGTCCAACCAAAACTCTGTAAATTCCACCTGTGTCTTTTTCCCAAGGCAGGACCTCTAATATTTTTTCCTGCAAAGTAAAGAACTAGCCAATGGCTAAAATTCACTAAAAAAAATGATAATGGATTATTGGAAAACGAAAATTGAACGGCACAGTTAGTGATCAACTTCACCTCAATGATTAACTTCACCCTGTTTTACGGTAATACAAAGTGCACACCCGATAGGTACAAAGTCTCATGAACTCAGTTAAACCGAGTCATGCCTAATTTGGTTCAAAATTCTGATTAACCCAATTTCGTTTGTGTCAGAAATTGATGCGCCAATGTCAACCCTTAACCAACCGAGACAGATCTAATGGTTCGTTCTCGACAACTATGTAACTAAATTGTAATCTGTTTGATGCATCTTCGAAGATTTGGGCCAAAATTTATCATAACACACGTTTCCTTATGATCCTCCCTTTTTGTGGGGGACGGATATAGTTGTGATGAAATTCGGGCTCTCAAGTATCATACTTTGACGAAATTTTATCAGAAACTAATCATTCATGATAGGAACAGGTTCCGGAAATCTATCGAGCGACATATTATTGTTCTTAGAATGTTATGGACATTATAAAAGGAGTCATATCATTTTTTGGATTGAATTGACACGTGATTGACTTTAGAACAGGTACTGGATGCCCTGGAGGAAGTGACCAATTTTCCACTGCCTATCGAGCGACATAGCATTGATCTCAGAATTGTATGGACATTTTGGAACAGGCCATCTATTTTTTTCTGGATCGCATTGGCCATGTGGTGGCCCCGGAACAGGTTCCTGAAGCCTTGAGGAAATTGGCCAAATTTCCACTAAAAAAGCCTATCGAGCGACATAGCATTATTCATTCAGAATTATATGGACATTTCAGAAACCTATCAAGAGGCACTGTTCTCAGCGTTTTATGGACATTTCGGACGAGGCCATTTTTATCTTTTTTGGATCCCATTGGTCATGTGGTTGCTCAGGAATAAGTTCCGGATCCCGTAGCCAAAGTGGCCAACTTTCCACTGCAGAAGAAACCTATCAAGCGACGTATTTTTGTTCTCAGAATGTTATGGACATTTTAGAAGAGGCCATATAATCTTTTCTTGATCACATTGGCCAGTTGGTTGCCCTGGAACAGGTTTCTGAAGGCCTGGGGGAAGTGGCTAAAATTCCCACCACAAAAAAAAAAAACTATCAAGTGACATATAATTGATCTCAGAAATTTTAACACATTACAGAAGAGGCCATGTCATATTTTTTGTATTACATTGGTCACGTGATGGCCCCAGAGTAGGTTCCAGACGCCCTGGAGAAGTTGCCAGAAAAAACCTTTCAAACGAAACATTATTGTTCTCAGAGTAGCGGCGCCGGTGGTGTAGTGGTAAGCGTGATTACCTCTCACCCCAGCAGGCCTGGATTCAATCCCAGTCGGCGCCACCGGGAAGTTCTGAGGCGTAACATCTCTGATCTTGCCTTCCTTCGGAAGGGAAATGAAGCCGTTGGTCCCCGGTTCATGAGTTTATGGGTCGATATGTAGGGTCCAGGTGTGGGAGCTGCCTCCCTGGCGTCGGTAGCATTGGTGTTCAGCACGGAAAACAAGATCGACGGAAAACAAATCAAGGAAAAAAATTGTTCTCAGAATTTTATGAACATTTTCTGGGTAGAATTGGTCATGTGGTGACCCTGAAACAGGTTTCGGACGTCCTGGGGGAAGTTGCCAATTTTCTACTGCAAAATAAACCCATCAAGCGACATATCATTGTGCTCAGAACTGTATGGACATTTCAAAAGAGGTTCTCTCTTTTTTCTGGATTGCATTGTCCATGCGGTGGCTCCGGAACATCTTTCGAAAGCCATGGGGGAAATGGTAAATTTTCCACTGCAACAGAAACCTATCGATTTATGTGCGTGTGCCGTGTGCGTGATATCGAGCATGTTGTTTGGTTATGCACCCTATACTGTGTTGTCAGATCTGAGTTATACACATCGCTCAGGGCCCGAGGAAAACAACCCGCGATACCCGTTAGAGATATCTTGGCTAGCCGAGATTTCGACTATTTGAGTTTAATGTATGTATTTAAAAACAGATAGACCTGAGGATTTAGTAATTAGTGTCATCTTGTGTTCTCCCAAGTTGTTAGCTGACCATCGGTGTACCCCCATGTTTGTCTTTTTCATCAGTATGTCGCTTAGTTCGAGATCAAGAGCACATTGCTCTCCAAACCTTGTGTTCTCAATCCCTACCCTGCCATCCATTTGTTACAATTTTTTACCCCTAAATTCGAGATAGCCGCGAGTAATCGGCCCCCGCTTTACTAATATTAGTTTTAAGTAATGTTGTTATACGATTAACATCGGCTCCGCAAAGCTACAGCAAATGGGCCTGAAACAATAAACGCATTATTAAAAAAAAAGAAACCTATCGAGCGACATATCATTGTTTTCAGGATGTTATGGACGTTCCAGAAGAGGCCGTATATTTAACCTTTCTCGATTGAATTGACAACGTGATGGCCTCGGAGCAGGTTCTGGATCCCCTGAGGAAAGTGCCAAATTTTCTACTGCCAAAGGACCCTATCAAGCGACATATAATTTTTCTAAGAATTTGGTCTATGAACATTTTATGGTGTTCATTTTATTGAATAAAGTGTTACACAGTTCGAAAAAGTAGAGTAAGCTGCTGTTCAATATGATGCACATAAATGGAGAGCAACATATCATATAGGGGAAATCACGGCTTCGGCATGCCAGACTATTTTCGGCAACCCAAATTGAAACACTATTTTCACTGGATTTTCTCACGAAAACACTTCGCTGAATGCATGCAAACAATTCTTTATGCTTTCAGCTTCAATTTGACTATATTTTTACCACTGAGAAAAAGCAATCTAGCAAGGTTTTCTTGAAATGAAACACACGCTCTACAAATTGTAGCTGATTTCGAGTTGCCGATAATAGAACAGCAGATTTACATGCAGTTCAAATGGAACGGTTGCCGAAGAAAAACTGGTTGCCGACAATACTCGCTCTCACTAGAGAAGATTGGAGCTTTGTAAAAGCGTTTCAAAACAGTTTTTGACAATTCTTTCGACTGAAATTGTTAGAGCAGCTGGCAGCAAAAGATTGTAAACAAAACAATACTGCATATGTGTGCGGTCCTTAGAGAAAAAGGCTATAGAAAGAAGGTCGCTGCTTAGGTTGCCGAGAATACGTAAATTCCCCCGTAATTTTCATGAAATGTTATAAATATTGTATGCAAAAGCCCATTTTTGTAAACAACATTGCTTACAAGTTGTTTGTTTGCGTGAAATAAGATACAAGTTTACGAGAGTGAATGTTTACATCACAATTAAAATTGAGAATCTTTGCTTTGTAGTTTTCATTGTTATTGATGAAAAAATGATGCCATTGAGCTTAACTATTCAAATAACTTGAATGTCTTGGCAGATCAAAATGTCATGGCTTGGCATAACATTAACAGTTTTCAACGAATTTTACTCTTCAGCGCCAAGCACAATATTAAGTTCTTGTCAGAATTTGAGGCTAAAACGGTAAAAATATTGAAAACCTCTCTTATGTCCACCCTCATGGTAATGACTTCTTGGTACTTTTGTAATTTCCTGTTTACACTTATAGGCTGACAAAAATCATCATCAGCATGAATTTAAAAATTTATGTCGTCTCCTTTCCTCTTGCAAAACCTGGTTTTGAATGTTTGACCCTGGTAATACAGGATATCGGTGACCAGCCATATTCGGTATCGGTATTACTGGTTGTGAAACTCCTAGTGGATGCAGCAACATTAACTGTTGTCATAAAATACAGCACAACGTTTTCATAAAGTTCATAAACATTTTACTTTTAGTTTCTACAACAAATAAATATCAATCGAAAATTGCTTGCAACCATTCAAATTCTTAAAAAAAAAAATTCGCCAGTTACTAATTATTCAACATCTTCGATATTAAGATGGTCGCATGATGATCAGATCTCTAGTAAAGTTCCTTCACTGATGTTTTAAATTGGTTTGTTTGTTTTAAAATACAAACTGTAAAAATACCATCCTTTTACAATCTACTAAATTCTACTACATCTAGCAGGATAAAACTGTTCTAAAAAATTTCTTTACATAAATTTAAGGATTGAATTTAGGTGTGGATACATTTTGAATAAAATATAAATAAAAATAACACACCATGATAAAACAAAAAAGCACGAGCTAATAAAAATGCCCTTCTATTTGCAGATTGAAGTTCTCCCGGAGATCGTTCAAGCGGTAGGCAACCGCCTGACAGTGATGTTCGATGGCGGAATAACCCAGGGTACAGACATTTTCAAAGCCCTTGCCCTGGGAGCAAAGCTCGTCTTCATCGGCCGGGCAGCTATGTGGGGTTTGGCGGTGAACGGGCAGAACGGTGTCGAAGATGTACTGGATCTGCTAAAACTTGAGCTCGATTCAGCCATGGCAATATCCGGTTGCAAAACAAGCAAGCTAATCACCGAGAACCGTGTCCGGTACGAGTCGGAATATCTGATGCCACGCATGCATATCCTGGAAAGAGCGGATACTAGTAACTTTGATGAAGAAGAGAATGCTGTGGAACATCAAGTGAGAGAGGACATTAAAGATGACGAAGACCGGAGCTCGCCGGATCAGGAGGTAGAAGTGTTGATTCCAACCGGCGAAGATGGCTTGGAAAAGTTCCCGAATGGAGGTGATGGAGTGGATGAGTGTGGCAAGAATGTTAGTCCTTGGTGTAAAACGGTGAACACGGACGTGGTGGAGCTGGTGCGGGCTCCACCCAGAATTACCCGGGAAGTTCGCATCGTTCCGGAGGTGGCGAAAGTACTCAACAGGAATATTAAAGCGGATATTGCCCGGCGAGATTATTTGAAGAATCGGTATTCTAATAGGAAGGCGGCTTCAATGCACAATTTAGCGGGTGGTACCAAGTTTACGGAAGATTGTAGATGTATTATGTAGATAATTTTGTGTAACTCGGCCCGCCGCTCGGCTAAAATCAATAAAATTAAATGATTAAAGTTTTCAATTTTAAGTTAAGTTTTAAGTTCGTTTATTTGGAAGGCTCAATCGCGTTAGCTTTACGGAGCCGATAGTTCATTGTTCTTTGTTTGTAACAAAAATGACTTCATTCTATGTCTAGTAGGAGTTGGGCCGAATACTCGCGGCTTACCCGAGGTTAGAGATGTACATTGTCGAAGGATAGGATCAGGGAAAAAGCTTGAAGGTAAGGTTTCGTTGTCTTATCAGAGCGTTTTTTTTTTTTTTTATTATTATAGTCACTTTAACACTCTTGGGTCATTCGTGACTTGTCCGGGGTGAGATTTGAACTCATGACTTTGGCGTGAAAGGTATGGATGTTAACCATTACGCCGGGGTCGCCCCCCCCCCCCCCGTTTATCAGAGCGTTGTCACCAGTATGAACGGTAGTAACCGCACTAGTTTCGTCTGGAGTTTGACCGGATAGTATGGTTTAGTAATTAGCGCATCATGTGCTAGTGTAACTTTGTACATAAAATTTAACATAACGATAAATAGCCTTTTTGTTTTGGATATTTTTAAGTTGTATATTTCTATAGTTTGATATCCAACGAGATGGCCTACATACAGTATCCCTAATAATTTATAGAACGTTTCGCATAACAAGTTGTATAATTAAATTCTAATATTACGAATTGCGGTCCCAAGTAACAAAAATGAATCAAAAATTACTCTGAGAATTGAATAAATCAATGCAAGAAGTATTTGAAATTGAATATAGTGTATATAATTTTTTTCCTTGATTTGTTTTCCGTCGATCTTGTTTTCCGTGCTGAGCAAAAATGCTACCGATGCAATGGTGGCAGCTCCCACACCTGGTCCCTACCTATCGACCCATCAACCCATGAACCGGGAACCTGCAAGCGCCGGTGGTGTAGTGGTAAGCGTGACTGCTTTCTAACACCCCAATGGGTCTGGGTTCAATCCCCAGCCGAGGTCGATGGGATTTTTCTGAGGCATAAAAATATCTGGTCACGTCTTCCTTCGGAATGGAAGTAAACCGTTGGTCCCGGCCCATGTGTGTTGTGAATGGGTGCGATATCCTACGCAGGTGTGGAAGCTGCCTTCCTGCACATTCGGTTGCCGTCAATGGATGGCAATCGATGTCCGTCAGTGATTGGCACTAGATTGCGGAACAGAGACCGACGTTAAATAAAGGGAAAAAAAGAGAACCGGGAACCAAGGGCTTTATTTCCTTTCCGAAGGAAGGCGTGATTAGAGATGTTATTCCTCAGAACATCCCGGCGGGGATTGAACCCAGGCCTGCTGGGGTGAATGATAATCACGCTTACCACTACACCACCGGCGCTGCTAGGGTAGGGCATATGGGGAATATATCAGTCATATGTGTTTTTAATGTTGTAACGGGACATGGGAGGGTTAAATCTCGGATGCAATACAACCTCCGCTTATGGGGTGCTTACATCTGTACGGATTTGCTAGCGCTAGTTTATTAGTCAACCAGCACGAATCTCACTTGCTCCTGAAAATCATGCTGGTAGACGCTGATGCCCTGTTTACATTATGCTGGTGAGCTTTTTTGCTAGCAGCTGGCTCATTAGCGCTAGTGAAATAGTATTAGTGTAAACACCCCATTAAGGGGAGGTTCATTTAGATTTTGCCGAAAAAATCGTTTTTTTTACATAACATGAAAACTACACATTTGTAGAATATATGTGTCAAAGGATATTCCGATACAATACGTATTTTGCAACTTAGAGTGTCTCGAACGGACCCATGTCACGAACGGACCCATATCACGCCAAAAACATTAAACGCGTTTTTCTCGGAACCATGTTTTGAGAACTCTTGTCAATGATAAGTCTTGTTCTATTCATCCGATTCGCTTCATTCAAATATAGTCTTAAAGTGAATACTTTTCTTTACGGCTTATACCTATTATTGGCATGAAAAATGGGTTTGTTTTTTTTTTTGTAATTTTTAAACGAGATCAAAGTTAAAAAAAGAGAAAAATTAACTTTTTTTTTATGTCCAAAAAGTAAGGTTTTTTCGTTAAAAATTTGTTTAGTTTAGGTAGGTATATGCCGTAGAAAATTTTATGTATTTTCATAATGTATGACAGTTACTCATTTCAGTTTACCACGGCAGGCCCTACAATTGACAGCAGGGGACATTGTTTCGTGCGCAGAGGCCGACGAGATCCACCATTTTGAAGCCACACAAAAAACATTTTGTTGTCACAATGTATAACGCATTAAAACTCAATAGCACAACTTTGTATGTCTTTTCGTTTTGCCACAAAAAAATCGCAAAGTTTGCACGATTTTCGGCCAAATCCAAATGAACCTCCCCTTAAGGGAGATTTCCGGTTCAATTGACCTAAACTTTGGATTTTTTTCCAGGGAACTGGTAAGAGCTAGAGACCTGAGTTTTTTGTCAAATCTTTATTCATTCTTGCTCTACAACTGGGAATTTTTTCAAGTTCAAAAATCCAAAATGGCGTCCCAAAACTGCGAGCAGCCTAGAGGTCGCAAATCGTCACCTAGAAAGAAAATCGGCTCAGTTTCTTGAAGAGTATAGTTCAGAGAATGGAATGAACTAGAATCTTTGAAAAATCTAAAAATTTGACAAAATGGCGGTAACTAGGTAAATTACTTTTTTTTTCAAATGCCCGCCATTTTGTCAAATTTTGAGATTTTTCAAAGATTCTAGTTCATTCCATTCTCTGAACTATACTCTTCAAGAAACTGAGCCGATTTTCTTTCTAGGTGACGATTTGCGACCTCTAGGCTGCTCGTAGTTTTGGGAAGTACCCGCCGGGCAGACGCCTTATTGGACGCCATTTTGGATTTTTGGACTTGAAAAAAATTCCCAGTTGTAGAACAAGAATGAATAAAGATTTGACAAAAAACTCAGGTCTCTAACTCTTACCAGTTCCCTGGAAAAAAAATCCAAAGTTTAGGTCAATTGAACCGGAAATCCCCCTTAAGCGCCAGGCAAGTTTTATCTTGCCGCGAAGGAGCACGTTTCTCAACAAAGTATCCAGTACCCGGCTGCGAGACCTCAGGGTAAGTCTTTAATTGTTGCCTTAACCCACGGCCGAAAATTCTACACCCAAACACCAACGAAGAATAGACCTACCAAACCAATTCAACTTCCAGGGTGGGTAGGTTTCCTTTGAAGGTTTGCCTACCCAGAGCCTATTCTACTCGTCCCGAAACCGAAAACTGCAATGGACGATATCTCTCCACCAAACTACCGCTCCTGATGTTTATTAAGCGAAAAAAAAATTTCACAGAGAAACATTCGTCTGACTCGAAATGTTTCTTATAGTAGGGTTAGTATAATTATACAATTTGGTTCGGTCACAGACAAACAGACATAACACATTGTATATTTCTCACTGTAAAACATCGTCACTAAAACATTACCGCCATCTTTTGAATACACTGTGGTGGATAGTATGCTGAACAGGTGGCGTTAGTGTGTAAACGTCAAACGCAAGGGAATTGACTATGCGCGCCACAGGTGGCGGTAATAAAAACTACGATATACAGGATAAAAGGGATCAGGAAAGAGGAAGAAACAAGTAAGACCGAACCACAGACAAACAGACATAACACTCGCAAGATGTTCATCGAACAAGCATCCAACGGTCAATTTAAAAAATTGACCGTTGAATGCTTGTTCGATGAACATCTTGCGAGTGTTATGTCTGTTTGTCTGTGGTTCGTTCTTACTTGTTTCTTCCTCTTTCCTGATCCCTTTTATCCTGTTCCTAAACTCCCTTATCCTTATCTGCTTCCCTCGTAGTCCTACGTTGTGCACGTGACCTCCTGCAAGTGTACTGGCCGACGAAATTTACTAGTCGGCCACCTGCTGGCGACTAGCCACAACAGGGCGTTACTCGACTACCGAATGGCGAGCTCAACGTTTGGGTTCTCACCTGGTGGATAATTAGCGAAACCGCGTGTGGTAAATAATGCAATGCGAAGGACGGTTGGGATATCTGGACCGCGTTGATTTTTTTTTTTTTTTTTTTTTTTTTTTTTTTTAACTCTTTATTTGTTCCAAATTCAAAATAAATTACATTTCATTTTAACCTAGGTGCTCCAGTTACTGCAGTAACGTACCAGCCTTAATTGTTATGATATATATCTAAGTGTTTTTACATTGTTCATGTCTTGGCAATTCAGTATTTTAAACAGGTTTTTAACCTGCATGTCAGTATAACAATTGATATCTTAAAACTAAAAACTAAAACTAAATCTTACCTAAGTATAAAGGGAATTAATCGCTGCAATTGAGGATTGCAACGATTTTTGCCTGAAATTATTAATTATTTTGTTGGACATTTGTGCTAAAGTCTCAACATTCGAAATTCTATGTACTTCGGTTGTACTGTACCAGGGAGGCAACTTCAAAATCATTTTCAGAATTTTGTTCTGAATCCTTTGAAGTGCTTTTTTCCTGGTAGTGCAGCAACTAGACCATATTGGCACAGCGTAAAGCATGGCCGGTCTAAAAACTTGTTTAAATATTAGAAGTTTATTCGTCAGGCAAAGTTTGGATTTCCTGTTTATAAGAGGATACAAACATTTTATATATTTGTTACATTTGACTTGAATGCCCTCAATGTGATCTTTAAAAGTTAATTTTTGGTCAAGTATTAATCCAAGATATTTCACTTGGTTTGACCAGGAAATTGGAACTCCGTTCATAGTGACTATGTGACTACTACTAGGTTTCAAAAAGGAAGCTCTAGGCTTATGTGGAAATATTATAAGTTGAGTTTTGGAAGCGTTGGGAGAAATCTTCCATTTTTGTAAATAAGAAGAGAAAATATCTAAACTTTTCTGCAGTCTGCTGCAAATAACACGAAGACTTCTTCCTTTAGCGGAAATGCCTGTGTCATCAGCGAACAAAGATTTGTGGCAACCCTGAGGCAAATCAGGGAGGTC